CAAAATTTAAAAAATCTGAATCCAATGGGATGAAGTGAATTCCGATCCTATTCTGATAAGTCAAATCTGAACTGGTTTCATCCATCATGAACCCAAACAAGCGTTACATTTCTGGCCCAAAAATAATAAAAATCCCGTTTTACTGATCAATCTCTTTCTTCTACCAAGTATAATTCATTGTTTATTTCATTTTATTGAATTCAATAAGATTTCCTTTTACCTAATTTTGTTAGATTTTCAACTTGGTTGAATGTTATCAGCATCATTATTCTTATTATCCTTTTTCTTCTGTACAACCGATTGTTTTTTTACACTTCTGTTTCTCCTCTCAGCCCTTCGATAAAATATTAAGGAAAAAATTTTATTTACACATACTTAAAAGGATTTGAAATATCACATTTGGAAAAACTATCAGAGAGCTACTTTCAGGGAAATTCATGAAAAGTTCAAAATTTTCAACAATCATTATAAAAATCAAATCAGCCAATATAGCTATCGTAATCATCTTTTAACTTCGACTTAACGGCATTAAAACAAACATTGCGAGCTATGCTTGAATTCATTTGAAGCATGATATTTAAAAATATCTCCGGAATTCTGATTTTCCAAAAATACAAAATTTTTGCAAATTTTCAAATAAACCGAAATAACGATTATTGCTATCGCCTTCGTCTTCGAACTCGGTCAAAAGGATATCCTAAAAATTTTTTTAAACCATCATTTAATCAATTCAGAACATTTTTTTAGGTATCGTGCACGGAGAGAAATTTTTGATAAAAATTATCCTACCGTTCTATAAAAGTGGATCATGAATCATCGTCTCCTCATTTCTATCCCGAAATTTAGGAAAAATTAATATATAATGATCAAATTTTATTCTACGTTAGAGAAATTTTATTCCTGATAAAAATAAAAATTACCGTGCCGGTAGGGTAAAATTTATTATGCGTCAGGATAAAATTTCCCTAACGTAGAATAAAATTTGATCATTATATATTAATTTTTCCTAAATTTCGGGATAGAAATGAGGAAACGATAACTCATAATACTCTTTTATAGAACGGTAGGATAATTTTTATCAAAAATTTCTCTCCGTGTGGGACAACCGAAAGTTCCGTGCAGATATGCCGAAATACTATATTCTCATGGCGGCGGCTTGTCATCTTCAAAAAATTGAACGAGCTTTCCAACATTCATGCATATCCCAATTGATAGCATAATGGATCGTGTATTGCATCATCATGTTAATCAGCTGTCGAATTCAGAAGTGGTCTTTAGAATCGATAATAATGGATGTTGTGGATTACGGGTTGGTCATGGAGAAAATATGAATTACGTAACACACTAGATCGCAACCAAGCAAAAGAGACTTGTTCAATTACCGTTCAACGGCCCCCAAACAATAAAGAGCTAATGGGATTATCGCGCATCGTCAGTTTCAGAAGATCTTCGGGGACGGTTCGTAAAAGAGAAGCTTTGAAATTCAATAATGTGAGGCATTCATTTGTTCTTTCATTACAGTTATTTTTTTTTATTTTTATTTTTTCTATTTCATTGGTTTTATCGAAGTAATTCTCGATTTGAAACCCCTCCTCTAGCCTGCCACCCCTCCTTTCTTTTCCTCTCATTGTTATCTGCGGTATCATGGCCGTCTTACTCTTAGCTGTGCCCCATTCGAGCTAGGACTGCACGGGAAACCATGTAAAACCCCAGTCGCACAGCCGGCCGATTGTGCAGTGCCCTAATATATCCATCTGTCACACTGACTAGATGGAGACACTAGGCCGCTACGCCGTACCTACCGCCCGCAATTTTTGTGCGAGCGAGGTGTTCCCAAGCGGTCACCCATCCAAGTACTAACCCAGCTCAACGCTGCTTAGCTTGGATGTCCGCCGGAGCAACACCTCACCCACCTAACCATTACAGTCGGTTCATTACAGTTATAATTCACGGTATGGATACACATTGATGAAATGCCATTATTTCCACTTTAATCCTATAATGCTCACATGGTTGAATTTTTGTGGCCGGGATTTGTCAATTGAATTTCAATTTTAAGAATATTTAGGATTTTTTCTTTTAGACAATTGGTAATAAAATTCTTTTATTCTAATTTCTAATTCATTTTGCAAATACAATTCTGCAAAAAATCGGTAGGCGAAGCAGTAGACAAGGAAAAGTAGTCCACACACCCAAAATATCACGCCTCAAAAAATTCAATAGAAAACCTTGCGAATTGGCTAGAAAATTCTATTGGAATTCTGTAGGAATTCGATAGGGTCTCTATAGGATTTCTATTGGAATTCTATTGCATATTTGATAGGAAAAAGTCAATATATTTTGAATTTCTGTTCGAATTTTTCTCTTGAGATTGTTTCTATTAGAATTATTGGGCACAAATTTTCCAAATTTTTTTCGCTGGATTTTGTTTTGTTTTGCATTAAAAAATCCGAGTAGAAAAAACTTTGGAAATTAATGCCCAATCATTCTTATAGAAAAAATCTCAAGAGAAAAATTCAAACAGAAATTCGAAATCTATGGCCTTTTCCTTATCGAATATCCAATAGAATCAGCGCAAAAAACAAATAGAATTTTTCAATAGAATTCCAGTAAAAATTCTATGCAAACCCCATAGAAGTCCTATAGCATTCCAATAGAGTTTTCTAACGAATTCGCTAGGTTTTTTATTGAATTTTTTCATACGTGATGCTAAAAACCATCCAATTTTAAAATTTCCCTTGGTTTGTTAATTCCGCGATTCATCCTCAAGTATTTATTGTTTTTAAGAATTCACTAAAGCCAACTGAAAAATTCAATCACACTGCAGAACAAAAAGTTTTTTGATAAGTACATCTTTACTTGTATTAAGAAACTCATGGCTCAAAAATTAACAAAACGAAAATATCTTACCATAAGAATGAAAAAACTTTCGTTCAGGTAAAACAGAACCCCTGTGTGTATATGATCTTTTAGAATTGTGTATTCTCCTCCAAGTATTATTTTTGCTTCCGAATGCAACGCAAAATTTTTAGAGCTCGTATGTCACAAAGTTTTTCGTTATTTGTTCGCTAATGACTGGACAGAACATTTTTTTAATTTTTTTTATTTTACGCTTTCTCAACCACTCTCATTTTACAGCATATGTACATGTATGTTCAATTTTGCTTAAATGCTAATTCCATTTTTCACGAGAAATTGGAAAGTAATTAATAATGCTTGAACATGAATGTCAGCTAGAAATGACTCAATATTGAACGGAAGAGAACCAGCTCGAGCTTTTGCAAGATCTCCAATTAGTTTTCTCCTGCTTTCATCTAATCTAGGACATTCCCATAATATATGGTTCAAATCTTGTGAGTCGTACTCACATTCGCACTGTGCGTTTTCGATTATTTTAACTCGAGCAAGAGAGCCTTTCAGACTATAGTGGTTAGCTCTAGCCCTATTGATAAATACTATTACATTACGGGGTAGTTTAGGGCGGTAGTAGTACCAAGGTTTGCTCTCAGTTGTGTTATGTATTTTAAAAAATATTATTCCTTTCTGTAGTGATTGTTCTGAGAGAGTGTTGCGGATGTTCACATGGGATTGTCTTTTTGAGTTCTCTCTAAAGTCAGTGAACGGAATCCCCAGACTTGTATTGGTCTGAACCTCCGTGGTGGACAGAATGTAATCTTTTTTTTCAATTGTGGGTATTGTTGAGCCCTATCAATCGCTATTAATTAAATTTTAATTCATCAATTAGTTTTTTCAATTTTTGAGTTTTTCGAAAATCGCTTGTCCCACGATAACTAAAAAAAGTGTTCTGAATTGATTGACTGGTGGCTTAAAAAACTTGTTTGGACGTCCTTTTAACCGAGTTCAAAGATGAAGGCGATAGCAATAATCGTAATTTTCATTTATTTGACAATTTGCAAAAATTTTAGTTTTTTAAAAATTACAATTCCGGGGAGATCCTTGAATATCATGCTTCAAAAGAATTCAATCATAGCTTGAAATGTTTGTTTTAATGCCGTTAAGTCAAAGGTAAAAGATGATTATGATAGCTATATTAGTTGATTCGACTGTTACCATGATCGTTGAAAATTTCGAATTTTCCATGAATTTCCCTGAAAGTGAGCTTTTTAATGGTTTCTTCCAATTTGATGTTTCAAATTCATTTAAATATGTATAAATAAAATTTTTCTATTAATATTTTATCGAAGGGCTGAGGAGAGAGATAGAACTGTAAAAAAGACAATCGGTTGTATAGAAAAAAGGGATAATAAGAATAATGATGATAACATTCAACTAAGTTGAAAATCTAACAAAATTAGTTGAAAAGAAATTTTCAATTCACTAAAATGGAATAAACAATGAATTTAGACATGACAGAAGGAAACTATGTGCAAAATAACCATTCGGAAGCATATTGTTAATTTATTAGCAAAAATAACTATACTACATGCAATAAAAGAGCAATTTCCCACTTGTTATTTATGAAACTATTTCATTGACTTAATAATACAATGATCAAGTCGATAAACTAGTTCCACAGATAAAAATGAATAATTGTAGGAGAAAACACAATTTTAAAAGTTCATGTAGACACAAAGGTTCCGTTTCCCCTTAAGAGATTTTGTTCTTGTCCCAAAGACAAGGATAATTTGTTTATGATAAGAAAATGATTTCTCAAACCGATTCCCGTTGAATCAATTTAGTCAATAGATTTCAAGTCTCAAATCCAAAATATTATAATACAAAAACCGCTTGACTTGGTTCAAGAAGTCGTTTTTTTGTTGTGAATAAATTGCCCCTTATCATTTCGAACAAGTATACAATCACTAGACGAAACGTTTCTTCTCTCAATGGGAGTTATTTTTGTCTTGTCAATTTTCGAGCCATGAGTTTCTTGATACAAGTAAAGACGTACTCCTCAAAAAACCGTTTTTTTCAGTCCAGAATTCTATCTAGGCAAAATAGTATAATTTCATAAAAAAACATACAATTTATTGACTTACTTTGACATTACTGGGAATGAATCTCCCACGTGATTTTTGAGTTTTTCGCACGATTATAAACACATTTATCACCATTGGATACACAACACAACTTCTTTTCGTAACGTTCTCAATAGAAACACCTTTTAATACAAGTTATTCACTCTAAGTAAATACACTGGTGTTTATCAAGACACAATTTGAAATTCACTGGATTAGGATGTAACTGAGAGTGCCAGTTCTTGCGTGAATTTCACCATCATCAACTCTAGTGATAAGGAGTAGTGGAAAATCAATAATCACGTGATTTAGGTACTCACGTTTTGGTGGTCATCGTGACAAATGATGTTTTGTTTCGTTCTTTCCCCTAGTGGTCGGTTTCTCCGTCTCACTTGTTCCTTTGTCGACTGTGCGTGAGTCATTTTCCTATTATGGTTTTCTAGAACCAGAGGAACCGTGAAATGTTACCCCCACTCTATCAAAATGCCACGCTTAGTGGTGGTCCCCACCGTTCAAATCCACGATCCCTTTCTAGTGCTAAGCTCTATACGTTTATCACTCTCCTCTTCTGTGTGAAGATTCTGGTTTTATCTAATTTTGTGTGTACACGGAGAGAAAAATACACCATAATTCCGTGAGAGTCCCTCCAAAAATTAGTGTGCTACTCACTAATGCTGGGACATAACAGGAGGTCACCAGACAATTCGTATGTGGCACCCTAAGTTTTTTTTTCGCGCGAAGCAGTGGCGCAAGTCCCTCTAAAAATTGGGGTGCCACATTCGGATTTTTCGATGACCCCCTGTTATGTCCCAGCATTGATGAGTAGCACACTAATTTTTGAAACATTTTTTTCTCAGTGTAGGGGAGACCGGGGTGGACGGGGCATAGTGGGGTACATAAAAAAACCCAAAATTGAGAAATTCGAGCGATTGACGAGGGGTCGATCAGGGATTAATAAAAAGTCAAAAAAATCTCAAAAAACTCGAATAATACTCAGGAAAAATTTTTAAAAAATGGAAGAACTTTGGAAATTCTTCATTCAATTCAATTCTGTCAAATACCGGGATGAGCCACTATATTGGGTATTTTGATTAAAACTGAGTTCTCGCCATGATCTAGACTTACATAGTCAGATAAATTTGCTAAACCAATCCTCCCACAGTCGATATCGATGGAAAAAATAAAAAATGAGAAAAAAGGAATCCCACTTGCTCTGCATACTCTCTGTTTACCGACACAAACTTCACTTTGCTACTGAAGCAAGAGAATAAAAACAATCAATTAGAAGTATTAGAATTTCACTTCGTAAAATTGAGATGAATAAGACAAATCTAATAAATAAATTCGGAAATTTCAATTTCTAGAAAAAAATAAAATTGAGGAAAAAAAAGGTTTTTTAGGAAGAAATGAATAGTGTGATTTGTTCCTCCAATTATCTCGGTGACAAGTGGGGCTGCTCGTTATTGCGATATTTGAAACACAAAATTAATTTGAGAAATAACGAAAATTCAAAAAATCCATAGAAAATCATGACAATGTACTCTTCTGTTGATGAACATGAAATTGAAGAAAAAGAATTCTCTTATGCGTACCCTATCATGCCCTAAATTAAGAAATCGATTCATCGGGACCTTTCCTACCGATTTGAGAGATTTTCTGTCGTTTTTTGCAGATTCAAAGGTGAAACACAAAGAAACAACATTTATAATTATTTTAAAGTTTTTTGGACACTACCCCACTGTGCCCCCGACTGTAATACGTTGAAGACGTGAGTTGACCATTTTAAAATGTGAATACTATTCACTGAATAGCGATTTCTAAAAAGCAATATAAGTATGATAAAAGCTCTGACACCCGCCTCTTTGTCTTAGGTACACCGCTTTGCCCCGGTCTCCCCTATCTACTTATAGAAAAATGAGATAGTATAGACCTTCTTGAGTAATCAGTATCTTCTGACGAGAAGACACCATTGGGATAAATCAGGTCTTGCTTTCAAACCGGAAAAAAAATTCAGAATGAAGAAAAAACAAGCGGGAAATTGCTCTTGTATTGTATATAGGGTAAATAGGTCACTTTCTTAACGTGGGTTAATTTCGGGACGATTTCAACTTGAAATTGAATATTCCATAAATAAAATGAAAATTGTACTGATTATTTCATCTTTCAGTAATATTACTCGTGTATAATCATGCGATCAATTATTTTTTCTACACGGAGAGAAATTTTCTAGAAAAATTCTAGTACGGGTACTGGAAAAAATCACAATCCACCGTCTGTAAAAAATTTTAGTGCTGTTAAGGTAAAATTTCTTGGTATTTCTGGTAAAATTTCTGGGGACTTCTGTGAAATTTTCACAGAAATACTGGGAAAAATTCACGTCTTTCCCAATAAAATTTCTAGTGCCGGCACTGGAATTTTTCCTAGCTGTCACTTTGCGCCTCTTTTCCCGTGCTAGCACTAGAATTTTTCTAAAAAATTTCTCTCCGTGTATTCATCGACATTGAATAAATAAAAAAAATATGGCCCAGGCGTCCATAAATTAGGGGTTTCTGCTGCATTCAACTATTTCTCAATTTAATTATTCTTTGTTTTGTTAATATCACTTTAAAGCATTTCTTTCTGCAAATTAAAACATTCTTGAAGGTATGCAAGCCATCATATCCTCATTTAGGTGATTCTTTTATATTAAACTAGACAATCATGCGCGCTGTCGCGCGCAACCATCTTCGAGTGAGCGTTGTAACGCACAATAACATCCTCGTAGTCATGGAAATCATTGATCGATCCGTCAACCAATCGCAAGACGAATAAAAAGTTAACAATCAAAATAATCATTCATTGTCAATCAACTATGAAAAAGGATCCTACCATGAAATTCGAATTCCCCTTAACCGTCCAGCAATTGGCCTGTTCACCCTACTTGGAAAATATCGTCTTGTAATTTGTCTCAGTGACTGTGTCAATGATATCCTGTGCGAGAGAAACAGAAATATTTTCTGGAACATTCTGGGACTCCTGGGAAAGGTCCTTAGGAAGGGATTTGGTTGTGTGTGTGAGTGTGCTTGTGACAGAGATATAGTGGAGACGTAGTCACCACAATATTCATTGAAGCTAATTATATTTTTCGACACGTTGAATACAGAGAGATTTATTCGAGATATTTATTAATATTTTTTCATTTATTCTTAATTTAGTTCTTCCCTGTACACTCGGGCTCAGGTGACTACTCCGATCCATTGGAAGGTGAATTCATTGACTTCGATAAGGTAGAGATAGAAGTTTTTGACAGAAATTGAAAATAATACTGCCTCTAGCTCTAACGCTTCGTACACTACTTTTCATAATAACTGTCTCACAACTAACTTAAGATAACTCAGTCTTTGAGATTAATGTCTCTGTAATTTAACAACAAATGTTTCCTCGATGTGTATACTATCCTTATATTTTTGTGGGAGAATGGTTTTGTTTTTAAAAAATATAGTCTGGTCGTAACTCTGCGACTTTGGTCAGTTAAAAAAATGCATCTATGGGTGCAAAAATTATACTCCTGCATAGTGAAATTTCCCACAACGGACCGCGTTCGGTAAAAAATCATTCTCCGTTGAGAAGATTCTACAATGAAGCGCAATGCAGGATTAACACGACGCGTACAATTGTTTGAATCAGTCATTCAACTATTTTTGGATTATTTTAACAATTACAAGCATTGCGTCACACCTGCGTTGCGTTAATTGTAAAATCTCCTTTACAGAAAAATTATACCCAATATTGAGCAATCATTCACGCTCACGGGGATAATTTTTTAGGGAATTCAGAGTAAATTTGATATTTTCGGCACAAATTAGCCTCACGTGCAGTAAATTTTCGGGGGCTAACGAATAAACGTTCACTATTCGTCTAGCACTTTTTCCCCGGCATACGGTGAAAAAAGAATAGAAATCCAGTTCGCTCCATGATTATTGGGCTTGCTCGGTTATTGTTCTCTCTCTTTTTTCTCCGTGTGCGTAACGGGTAATTTCGTTCAACACCACGCACAACAAAATTTCACAGAAAAAACTAGCGAATTCGCTAGACAATTCTATTGGATTTCCATTGAACTTTCTATTAGTTTTCCGCCGATTCTATTGAAATTTTCAATAGCAAACATTCTATAGAAAAAGTCAACAGAATTCGATTTTTCTATACAATTTATTCTAATGAGATATTTTCTATAGAATTTCCGCGGCTCAAATTTTCCAAGTTTTTTTCATTCTATTGTTCTTTTCTTTTCATCAAGAAAATTAAACAAAAAAAACTCATCAAATTTGAGCCCACGATATTCTAGAGAATATATGTCAATAGATAAAAAAATATTACCTAGTTAAAAATAATCCTTTCTGTCAGTCTATAACAATGTCTGAATAACGTATTCAACTTAACTCACAATTAGCTCTGAGAAAGTTGTATACATCAGTAGTTTCCTTCGAATTATAAAAAAAATCAATTAACCTAGAAACTGGTGTTGAAACAGGAAATGAATATAATCCAGTGATTATGGGGATAATCCCAACATCACTTAGAAGGCATTTTGACAACTTTCTACTACCTCCGCTTGTAAGTCTCGTGTTACGTCCAAACACAATACTTACTGATGGTCTCTTTTTCGGGTCAAAGCACAAAAATGCTTTTTACTCCAGGAACCGAGGCCAAAGTCCAATATCCTTAAGGAGAAACGGAATCCCTGCGTTTATATGAATCTTTAGAATTGTGTTTTCTCCTGTAATTATTATTTTTTATTCATTAAACTACTTCATTGACTCAACAATGCGATAATCGAGCCGATAAAGTAATTTCATAGATAGAAATTAATAATTGTAGGAGAAAACACAATTCTAAGTTTTGATGTAGACAAAGGGATTCCGTCTCCCCTTAAGGTATGCTGATGCCTTCTGCTGATTTAATTTGTTGAGAATAGAACTAGATGGATACCAGGCTGATTCCAAAAAAAAATTCAGAAAAGAAAAATATTTACCAATTTATTAATCCAATTTGATTTAAAGAGTCTTTTTAACATTTCATTACATCCTCTTTATTAAATGCATACGTTGACTTCTCGTAGGTTAGTTATGATAACAAGATATTTTCAAGTTACAATGAATACGCTCTGTTCTTGTTATTTCCTTTCAACTTTCTTCTTCTATACACAGTCTAATTTTAATTTAAAGAATTTTATATTGTTTCATGGATTGGAATAGAATCTTTCAATAATTAGGCTTC